ACAACTAACGCTCTCTATAGTTATATTTTGGTGTACTTCAGGTGGTTTATTTTGTCGTGTGTTGGTTTGTTTGGGGCAAGTGTGGGAAGTAGTAATAACCGGTGAGGAATTTATATAAGACGGAGTTGTTTGGTGAAAGCAAAAAAAGATGAAGAAAGAGACACAAAAGTTAGCTTGTGTTTAGTGTTATAGGTAATTATTAAGAGTTTGTATAATTATATCGACTATGATGGGCAGCAGATCCCAAAGTTGTTTCGTTTTATTATACACACCAGGTCTTAATCATACTTCTGATTATTTATTTATTTTTGTTACTTTACAATAGTACCCCCTAAACTTATAGAAATTTTTAAAAAAAATATCTAACTGCAGTACCAATTGATTAAAGTATATGTATATGGCTTCCATTTTCACATCTTTATTTATTTTCCCCCTCTCAATCTATACGTCTAGTACTAGTGTACTACATAGGTTTTTATTATTGTTATAAAATATTATTTGGGCTAATTCCGTCCTAGAGAAGATACTGTTCATAGAGGAAGAAAAAAAATGATAATTTAAGGAATTAGGGGGCAATAAGCTTAATTTTGATCATGTCTTAATTTTCAATGCCATGAATTGTTGTAGTTCTTTTATTTGAGGAGAGAAAAATAAAATGCATGCTTGTGGTTTACACGTAACTCCGCCTATGCGTTTGTATAGCCGGTCCCAAGCCCGGATAAAGGAGGAGGGTTGCAATAGGTTGACGGTCAGCGTAAAAATAAGTCACTCTCATGGATTTCACTCAAATAGAATCTGTTGGGGCGTTCCCTACGCGCGACGCGTAAAGTTAATAAGCTACACCATGAAACTTTGGGAGAGAGTTATCGAAAGGAGATTAAGGGCAACAACTACCATCTCATGTAACCAATTTGGCTTCATGCTAAGCAGATCAACCACGGAAGCCATTTTTCTTCTTAGGATGCTGATGGAAAGGTACAGAGAAGCCAAGACGGACTTACATATAGTCTTTATAGATTTAGAAAAGGCATATGATAGGGTGTCGAGAGAAGTTTTATTCTGGATGCTAGAAAAGAGAGGAGTGCATGTGAGGTATATCAAGGTAATTAAGGACATGTATGATGGGGTGGTCACGAGTGTGAGAACTGCTGGAGGCTACACGGTAGAGTTCCCCATTCGGATTGGCCTTCATCAAGGATCTGCTCTTAGTCCTTATCTTTTCACCATCGTAATGGATGAGCTGACAAGAGAAATCCAAGATAGAGTTCCTTGGTGTATGCTTTTTGTGGACGATATAGTTTTAATGGATGAACATAGGAAAGGAGTTAACTGTAAGTTAGAACTGTGGAGACACACTCTCGAGACGAAGGGATTTAAGTTAAGTATGACGAAAACTGAATACATGCATTGTAGGTTTAGTAACTCAAGTAATCAGAATGATAGAATTTCTTTAGATGGTGTGGAGATTAGGGCTTCTAGAAAGTTTAGGTACCTTGGGTCTATAGTGCAGTACGAAGGAGATATAGAAGAGGATATTCAACATAGGATTAAGGCATGGTGGGTTAAGTGGAAGAATGCTACGGGAGTTTAATGTGACGACGGGATGCCTATTAAGTTGAAAAGAAAGTTCTATAAGACTATAATCCGCCCAATTATGCTATATGGTAGTGAATGTTGGGCCATTAAGAGACAACATATATCTAAGATGAGTGTAGAAGAAATGTGTATGTTAAGATGGATGAGTGGCCATACGAGAATGGATCGCATAAGGAATGAAGTTATTCGTAGTAAAGTAGGTGTAGTACCAATAGAAGATAAGGTGCGCAAAGGCCGTTTGAGGTGGTACGGACATGTTCAACGTAGACCGCTAGAAGCACCAATTCGTGCTTGGGAGGACATTCTTATACCTAATACTAGGAGAGAGAGGGGTAGACTAAGAATTACGTGGACTGAAGTAGTTAGAAAATACATTCTAGATCTAGGCCTTTAAGAAAGTTTTAATTTCAAACATAACTGCGTGAAAAAATGAAATCCATATAACCAACCCCAATTAAATTGAGATTAAGGTTTGTTGTTGTTGTTTGTAGTTTACACGTGTTTGCATGGACATCAGTACAATATTATTTCATATATATGTCATATATGTTTTCACTTTCCTTAGTTCACAATTGGAAATTCTTACTTTAATATTGCAGGCGAAAAGAAATATGTACACTTACAATGATTTACTATATTGGGTAAAAAAAAATAATTTATTTGCAAATTCAAGATACATTTCTTTGATACATGGGCCAGCACATATATAATTTAATGAACATTTCCCTCCCTAATTAATTAACCACATGTTCTCTTATCGGCCTAAAAGTACTCAATTATACTAACTTCATCGTTTTTTTTATTCTTTCTAAATAAAGAAGAATAGAATCTCGAAAAGATACCTGTGTTCGGTCAAGAAACAAATATCCATATTATTTTCTTTAAACCTATTGATATTCTATTTGCTAAGAAAAACATATGTACTCAAGTTTATTGTTACCTAAATTGGTTTCTGCAGATGCAATTAATTAATAAAAACAGTGAAATCTGAAGTACATTTGAGTTCCATAATCCATATCCGTTTATAATATATTAAAGTGGAGATCTAATAAGCTCCATTTTTGGCTTCAACCTAATTTTACATGTTTCAGGAACCAGAATTTATAGCTCAAAAACCCTTCAAAACATTTCTTATTGGAAAACTGGAAAAGATAAGAATTCTAAGCAAGTATAAAAAATTACAAAAAGTGGGAGGGAAATAGAGAGGCAGTAAAATAGGAGAGCTCCATAGCAAAAAAAAACCTCCGACATTCGAGCAGAAATCTAGTGGCGTAGAAATCATCAAAATGAAAGCTCAGTTGCGAAAGCAATATATATCCTTTGCGACAAAATCGCAAAACCAACAAGTCACCAAACGACATAAAAACTCATTCCCTCCCGAATGGCAGTTACGATTCAGTTACTCATAAAAGAGTTCAAAAAAGCACCTTTGACTAGGCTTACTAGGTTTCCACGTCAGACTTCTTCGCCACGTCACCCCTTGCCGGCTCCACCGGCTCAACCTAGTTCTACATCCTTCTACTTGACGTTTCTTTTCCATCGTGACCATATTTGGTTAAAATAGATGATAACAGTGCTGAAATCACCCCATAATTTTATTTTTTTTTTTGTTACGGAAATCACCCCATAATTATGTATTATAGATATTAACATCGTTGAATTACTACCACGTATACTCGTGGCAAAGGTATGATCTCTATTAGAATGATGAGAAATTTCAAACTATTTTAATTTGAACTTACGTAATAAGTGAGTTGTTATGATAAAATTTTAAAAGAATTATTTGATAGGCTATGAAAAAAACTTCATTAGTAGCACATATTTTTTTAACTGGTGGATCTCCATTGAGTTTTACTAAATTGACATATTTTATTTGATATAATTCTAATTTGACCTGGTAGTCTATTATACGTGGATTTGATAGACAGTTAAAAAAAAAAATGTCCTACTAGTAGATATTTTTCTTATTTTATCACAAAAATGATATCACTTATTATGTCATTCAGTATTTAAGAATTTATACATTATATATTCTCAGTGTTAAAAAGTATATTCTTCTTTCTCTTATTTTTTGTTGATAAAATACTAAAGCTATGTTTTGTTTTTACTTTTCCGGCGGCACATAGCTAGTTACATACAATATTTAATTTTTTTTTTCCTTTGAAAATCTCTGTACTATTGGAGAGCTGCTGAAAAAAATTAAAGATATTCATGTTAAAGTGTGCTTTGCAACAAAACATACACATGACTTCGGGGATGAGAACTGTTTCCATATTCTGCACTAAGATTGAGTTGAAAAAAAAAAATCACTTAGGCATAATCTTCTCTTCTTTTTCTCTTCTCACGTTCGTCTTAAACTCCGACAATCTAAATCATTGAAGAGAAAATCCTCTCTAAAAAAATCTCTCTTTCGAAGGGTTTTTTTCTTTTTATTTTCATGTATTTAATTTCATATTGAATATATATTTATCTTCACTTAAAATGCATTAGGTAGTGGTGACGAGTTTTGGTGTGGTTCTCTATTTAGCTTTCACGTTTTTTTACATTTTCATACAATCACTTGTTAGATTTATAGCTTTTAAGTGTCACGTCTAAAAGATTTAGACGGATGAGAATTAAAATTGGCAACAGATTCCTTATGGTATCAGTCAAAAGAATCTACGCTGAAGGCAGAGTCCATTTTAAAAGAATTAAAATTTTATTTATTATGGAGTTCACATTTATTTTTCTTATAAAGTTATATGCACGTCAATAAGAAATAATACACTTCAAAAAAGAAAATCAGAAATAATACATATTGAAAAAATCCTCTATATATGTTGTTTTTATCTAATGAATGGTTTAAAATAATTCGTTTATTGTAGTGGTTTGCTTGTTATATTGAGCATAGTATTTCTTTTTTTAGATCTACAATTATAATATTTATTTGAGTTGGATAGAATCCGTCTTATTCAAAAAATCACTTATCACATCGAATTAAAAAAATAATTAAAATTCTTATGAAAGTTGGACCCAATTTTTAAATAAAAAAAAGAAGGTTACCTCCATATTTGTAACCCAAAAAATAAAAATAAATAACTAAATAACGAAAACAACTCTTACACACCCACTAACTTCGTTTTCTTTCAATTTCAATTGCAATAAGAATGTCCAGTAAGCTTGTAGGTTGGATCACACCAAGGGCTCCACTAGGGCAAAGAAGTACTATTGCTAGGTGAAACAAACATGGTTGGGTGAGAGAACCAATTAAGATTAATATCATGTTAATGCTTTTAATTATGGGACAATTTTGTGAATTTTTGGAACGGCCAGACTAAATGCATATTTTACAGTTGAAAATTGTTTTTATTATAGAGCACGCGCGAGTTGTTAAAAAAAACATATATTGAAGTTAATTTTAATTG